GGATACATTAGCTTATGATTTCTTGTTCATACATTTTTGCTCTACGTGACCAACTTGCTTGCAACTAGTGCAAAACCGACCATTGTTCTTCACAAAACTAGTCTTGTAAGGAGCAAAGGCTGCCTTGCCTTTCTTAGGGATATAGCCCAATCCCTCTTTGTAGAGAGAAGCTCTTTGGCTACCCAAGCACATAAGCAAGCGGTCCTCACCACCATATGCTTTTCCTAAGGCACGAGTGAGCTCATTGGCCTCCTTCTTGAGGGTCTCATTTTCAACCATAAGTGAGGCATCACAAGTGAAACCATCACTCATAGGTGAAGTAGAAGTGGATGTGCTAGATGAGCTATAAGAAGGGTTAGTGGGAGCAACAATGATACGCTTATAGAATGATTCATCAATTATATCACAAGTTAGGCCTACATCACATGTTACAACATGCTCTTTCACATTTTGCTCATCAAGTAGAGAGGAATGAGCTTTTTCAATCTTCTTGTGAGCTTTGCCAAGCTTCTCATGGGCTTCCTCTAGACTCTCATGAGATGCATTGAGTTCATGAAAGGCTTGCTTATGGGCTTTTAGTTCCTTACGCAAGTCTTTTCATTTCCTTCTCTTAATATCAAAATGTTCCCTAGCATCATCTAACATGTCAAGTAGTTCATCTTTAGTGGGTTCATCATAATCATCACTTTCACTTTCATTATCATGTTCCTCATCACATCCATCATCACATGTTTGTACCTTAGTGGCCTTAACCACGAAGCATGATGGAGTGTCAAAGAGAGAAGGCTTCTCATTTATGGCAATGCTTGCAAGAGCCTTCTTCTTGGTGGTCTTGTCATCATTACTATCATCATCATCACTTGAGGAAGCATCACTATCCTAAGTGACCACATATGAACCACCCTTCTTCTTCTTGAAGGTCATCTTGTCCTTCTTTTCCTTCTTCTCCTTCTTTTCCTTCTTCTTGCTCTTCTTGTCATCATCATCATTGTCGCTATTGTATGGGCATTGAGAAAGAAGATGATCCTTGTTTCCACACTTGAAGCATCTTCTTGACTCTTCCTTGTTCTTAGATAAAGACTTCTTCTTTCTAGCACGGTAGCCCTTCTTCACCATGAACTTGCCAAATCTCTTCACAAAGAGAGTCATCTTCTCATCATCCATCTCATCAAAGCTCAAATCCTCATCTTCACTTGATGATTCTTGCTTTGCCTTACCCTTGGATGATGTAGCTTTCAATGCCGTACTCTTCTTCTTCTCATCCTTCTTCTCATCTTTCTTCTCTTTTTTTTCTTCCTTCTCATCATCATCTCTATATGTGTCATCGGTCATTACATCTCCCAACACTTGGTTTGGTCTCATGATGTCCAAACCACTCCTCGCTAGAATAGTGACCAATGTGCCAAATCTCAAAGGTAAGCATCTCAAGAATTTGTGGGAGAAGTCCTTGTCCTTCACCTCTTCTCCAAGTGCTTTGAGATCATTTGCAAGCACTTAAAGCCTATGGAACATCTCTGGCACACTCTCATCTTCCTTCATCTTGAAGCTAGCAAACTTCTCCTTGAGGATGTATGCCTTAGCACCCTTCACTGCTTGAGTGCCTTCAAATGACTCCTCCAACTTCCTCCATGCCACATGTATCATCTCAATGTTCTTAATTTGCTCAAATGTTCTCTTATCCAATGCATCATGAATGGCACTCAGAGCAATATCATTGTTTTGGAGCAATACTTCTTCGGTCGTGGTGGGAGCTTCCGCATTGGCAACCTCAATCTTGGTCTCCACCACCTTCCAAATATTTCTATTGATTGACTTGATGTATGTTGTCATCTTAGCCTTCCAATAAGGATAATTTGAGCCATCAAATTAGGGTGGCTTCTTGGTGTTGTTGATTTGAGCCATTTTGACACCGAAGGTTGTTAAGCCTCAAATCAAGGTGACAACGGCTCTGATACCACTTGAAAGGTCTTAATGGCTAGAGGGGGTGAATAGCCTATAAAAATTTCTACAACAACACTAAGCAATGTGGTTAGACAAATATGAAATGAAGCAATTCTTGTGCTAGCCTACTAAAAATACAAGCCACCTACCACAATTCTAGTTACTATAGTCTCTAAGCACACAATGCTAGGTCACTACCACTAAGTTAGTGAGCTCTCAAAGACTAACTAAAGAGCCTCACTAACCACTAAACAAGACACAAGCTAGCTTTCAAAACTAATTACACTAAAGAGCTTAGCTACACTAGGAATTGTAAATACAAGAGAGAGGATGATGTTTATACTGCCATGGCAAGTGACAATCAACCAATCACAATGAATACCAATGAAATCTCGGTGACAAGATGACATAATGATTTTTCACCGAGGTTCACTTGCTTGCCGACAAGCTAGTCCCCATTGTGGCGATTCACTCACTTGGAGGTTCACGCACTAATAGGCATCACTCGCCTAACCCGCAACCGGGTGCCGCACAACCAACACAATATGAGGATCACACAAGCCATGAGCAATCCACTAGAGTACCTTTTGGCTCTCCACCGAGAAAAGGTCAAGAACCCCTCATAATCACCACGATCGGAGCTAGAGACAAGCACCTTCCTTCGCTCGACGATCCTCACTGCACCAAGCCATGTAGGTGGCGGCAACCACTAAGAGAAACAAGCGAATCCCGCAGCAAAACACAATCACCAAGTACCTCTAGATGCAATCACTCAAGCAATGCACTTGGATTCACTCTCAATCTCACAAATATGATGAATCAGTGATGGAGATGAGTGGGAGGGCTTTGGCTAAGCTCACAAGGTTGCTATGTCAATGCAAATGGCCAAGAGAGTGAGCAAGAGCCGGCCACATGACTTAAATAGGGAGCCCAAAGGAATAGAGTCATTGGCCCCTGTTGCCTGCCTCCACGAGGCGACCGAACGTGCCGGTCATAGTGACCGGACGCATGCCACCTAGCGTCCGGTCGCTAGATGCGTGCCACGCGCCCCCCGTGTTCAACGTCGACCACAGATCTCCAACAGTCAGATTTCACCTCACGAGCGCTTAAGTCAAGACCAAATGCGCTAGAGACACGATCGGACGCGCCGATGCCACTCCAACTCACGCGCGCACCCAAGCCACCAAGTGCTGACCGGACGCGCCGCTCCACTTCACCTGACACTGAGCCACCGCACGTCAGGTCACTTCCAGAGAGGGTCCAGAGCGCCTAAACTACGATCGGACGCGTCAGGAGCACCTCAACCGGACGTAGGCCAGCATCCGATCCCTTCTTCTCCTCTGCGCGCCAAGTTTCGCGACCGACGTCAGCGTACGTCATCCTTGACCAGACGCAGACCCTACACGTCCGGTCACAATTACTGTGCAGCGTCCGGTCTTGAGCCAGTCAAGCCTGAGCGCACCATCTTCACTATAAATGACTGGAGGCTCCAAGCGCCGAGTCCAGTCACAGCGTGACCAGAGTCCGATCAGTGAAAACAGCGCCTCCACTTCTCCAACTTTACCACCCTTGATCAAATGTGCTAACCGCCAAGTGTTTCACCTTTTGCACGTGCGTTAGCATATTTTCACAAACATTTTCAAGGGTGTTAGCACTCACTAGAATCTAAATGCATATGCAATGAGTTAGAACATCTAGTGGCACTTTGATAACCGCATTTCACGACGAGTTTCACCCCTCTTAATAGTATATCTATCTATCATAAATGTGATCACACCCACTAGATGTCTTGATCACCAAAACAAAATGGCCCTATGAATTTCACATTTGCCTTGCGCTCATTTTGTTTTTCTCTTTCTTCCTTTCCAAGCCCGAGCACTTGATCACCCTGGTTATCACCACCATCATTATGATTTTCATTTGCCCCATCACTTAGAATATGCTACCTATCTCATAATCACTAGAGCACATAGGTTAGCACCTAGAGTTTCATCAATTGACCAAAACCAAGCTAGAGCTTTCAGTATGTTGCAAATGTTGTACATTGATGTTGCCAAAGTAGATCAGGATGTTGCACATGTTGTAATGGCTATACACATATATTTCAAATGTATGTTCTAAATGTTTTATCTGTTCCAGACATATGTTGTAAGTGTTTTATTTGGATGTTGTAAAAGTAGATCTGGATGTTGCATATACATGCATGTTGCAAACATATGTTTCAAGTGTTTTCAGGTGTTTCATACGCATGTTTGCAAGTGTTTCATCTGGATGTTGCATATGTTTACAATAATTTTCAAATGCTTTTAAGGCGTTTTCACGTGTTTCAGATGCTTGTTTCAAGTGTTTCATCTGTCTTCTTTTGTATGTTGCAATTGTTGTATCTGGATATTTCAAGATAGGAAGCGGCTGGCGGTGCTGGCGACGTCTGGGGCGGTGCGGGCCCACTGCTAGTGCACTCGCTCTCGAGCCCGACGCGCTAGACGCTTGCGAGCTCCCTGTGCGAACACCGTTCGGACGTTAGCGCCCGAATCAGATGTCCAGACCCTAGCAAGTCCGTTAATTGTAACGCAACCATCGTCGTATCTTAAACGTGCTCTAATCGACCGTGCGTGCTCAGCCGTCCTGTTGAATCACATAGAGCAAGGTCCAGTATAATAGATCTCAAGAGCAAGCATAATAAACAATCCACAGGGTATATAACTCCACTGTTATTTAGGAGGAACATACACTGGTAGTTGTATACTTATCTTACAATGATGGTCAGTCGCTTACACTACTTATTTATATACGGCTGTCAAAAAAATTCTTTTGCTCCTCCTATGCGCGCAGAATATAATGTGCCTTCTTCCACGATTAAGCTACTATTGACAGCAGTTTAATTATATCATACTTCGCTTAGCACGTATACCTAATCCCAGTGAACTTGTTTATACACGAACCCGAGCAGCGCATAGGTGAATGTGAACCACCAAGCCTTCCCTCTCCCGTAAGAATTACAGCTTCCTCCTCACGGACGTGGACATCGTCTGGTCCCAGTGGCCGCCGCGGACACGGCCATGCCGCCATGGCCTGCGACTGGTTCCAACCCGTACGACCTGAACAAGGGCACCAACGCCGGGCTGGTGTACGCCAAGTCAGTTCTAGCACGTCTGATTCGAGGCCAGCCGGTCAGGAGCCTGTTCCCGGGCAAGAAGACGCACTGCACAAGACGTGCTCGAGAAGCTCAAGCACCAGCTGTCTGCGAGGCTTGGCGTCATGCCCAGCGGACAGCTCTTAGAACACGATCGAACTGATCGTGCCGCTGCAAACCCTGTCACTAGCACCTCCAGTCCGATACACACCACACTACAGCCACATGGCCCAAAACTTTCACTGCGCCTTTTTGGACTGCTCCTATGCTGTGACATTTTCTTGCTAGCTTCAGTGGGAACCAGAAGCAAGCTCACGTTTTACTGGTTGTCATTGCTTACACAACCTCCATTGCAGCTGCTGCAGCAGTTTGCCACTGGATTCTGTACTGCTTCCGGTAGCAACAATGCAACTGTCACTGAGATCCACATCCTAATGTTGCAGCTGTGGTCTGTGGAGTCGACTGATGTGCGCAACTGTGCATGCATTTCCAGCTAAGCATCCCCAGAATTAAACATTAGTATAATGAGTTTGGCGTTACTGGTGCTTTTATATTCTCTAATAGCTGTGCAAACACCACATGTCTCCAGATCTACAGACAAGAGAAAAATCTTTAGGACATAGCATTGAAATGAAAGGAAGAATAATTGGTTACCTTACTCATGTGAGAAGCTAAGTGGATGCAACCAAAAAAAACAGTGGCTGTAATCCAGCATTGTACCAACAAAGCAACATTTACGCATTGGTAGAGAAGCAAGAACCAAATACATAGAATGGCAATCTGAACAGAGAATTTAGCTTACAGCTGTACAATAACAACAGATGGAACAAACCGGTAGGAAATCAGTTAAACATTGATATACAAACCAACATTCAGTGCTGATAGATGAAAACTTCTTTTTATGAGAATCACACAAGGGAACTTGTGCCTTCAGAATGTATTAACAGCATTGATTTCACATGGACCTGAAGAACCATTCTTCCACTTATGACCATTTTGAGGTAAAATACATGCAAAACTGAAACCAACTTATGCAAGTTTTGTCAAGTTAACCTAGTGATTGGTCTCTACTATCTAGCCACAAGTTAGGCACTTGAGAGTGAGAACATTCAAGGCCTGTTTGGGAGGCCTTTATTACATCAAATACCCTTGTAATATACAGCCCACATAAAATTTCCCACATCCAACTCTAAAACGCTGCTTGCATAACCGGTATCATTGAAAATAATACGGTCGGTTTAGGATGTTCCGGCGGACAATAAAAATTGCCCAGGGAAGTGATTATTTTTTTCGACGGATACAGGGGCAGAGTTGGGGCCACATCACTAAGCTGCTCACGTGCCATTGCTCTTGCCAAATCCCTGCCACCACAGTTGACATGATCGCATCTCACATGCCACCGCTACCTTCTGAAGAGCCCAGCACAACCTCTGCCGTTGCCATCATCTGTTTTTCAAATTCATGGTGTTGCCCTCATCAATATGGCCTCCACTGCCAGTGCCATCCTTGTGCTTTAGGCCAGAACCCGTGGCTCTGCTTTCGTCTGACCTCAGATGCAAAGTCACCTTTGTTTCAGACTCAATCCATGACGCCATCATCATGTCGGCTTCAATCTGAGAACATTGTCTAGCACTGTCGTCATCCTCCATGCTTGTCGCCTCAATGCATGTAGTCTTCATTGTATCAATTTGATCCATCTTTAACACTTGAGCTGCTGCAACTCCAGCACGATCATAGGTTTGCCCAGGCAATGACGGGCAATGACAACATCAATGGCATTGAGCTCTGCGTTTTAGCTCTAGGCAACAACAACGAGCATTCTGTCTCTAGGTAGCCAGAGGCTAGAGCTTTGCATTCTAGAGGGCTGTAAACAGTCCATTTCTTTACTTCTCCTGAACAAACAATTACATATCATTTTAATTACACTGGTAATGTTGTGCACAAGCATATACAAGCGGAAACGTTTTACACATGTAAACGATTAATTACTATGTGTCCAAACATGGCCTCACAATTTAGGCAAAAACATTTGGTAAACTTTGGCATCCTAACCTATGATCCAGACAGGCTCACTTCGATGACTAGGCAGAGGTACTGCCATCCAAGGATGCATAAAAGTGTACTCCAGCAATAGCAAAGCTCATTTATGCATAGGTAGATAAAAGCAATTACTGAATGGGAAAATGTATCATACATTCTTCTGTAGTTTGCAGCCATACAATGAGCAAAGAAGCACAAACCAAAGGTTACTTAATAAAACGTAGCCATGCAAACTAATAGTTTAATGTGAATGATAGATGAAAACTTAATTATATATAAGAACATAATAAGTGTTAAACCTTTCCACTTGCAGTTTCACATGAAAATCTTGAATGTACTAGTAGCTTGCAGTTTCACATGGGAAAAAATTATTATATCTGCAGCAACACAAATAAAGAACATAACAAAAAAGAAGGTTGAAAGCAGTTGGAAAATAAATGTTTCTGCATCCACAGTTCCAAAATTCTATGCTTATTAGAATAGAAAAGAAACAAGTGTGGACCACGCTTATGAATTATTACTCAAGATGTCATGGAATCCACATAGTTAAAAAGTATTTGAAAGAATCAACATTGTTGTCTGGTACCCAAAGAACAGTAAAATAACTGTATCACTCACAGTAACACTGACATATTAGAAAGACTTGGTGCAATAAACAAAGTGAATCTAGGCAATGAACACCAATCAAAAGCTTCAAACGTTCCATGTATAGAACTTGGTGTTGACCTAGTAAATAATTCAATTGTTCGTTTATATATTAGCATATTAACTGACGTAAAAATGTGTACTGGGCCACAACTATGAAATTGTGACATAATAACAAAGAAAAAGAAACATTGCAATGCAACATATAGAAAGCAGAATGTAACACGTCACTTGGGCTGGGGCCCTTGGGGGGTGGCGGCTAGGGCTAGGGAGGGGCTGGTGGCGTCGGCAATGGGGAAGGAGAGGTGGTGGCTAGGGTTGGGAGAGGGAGAGAGGCGCAAGGAGAGAGAGGGAGGAAGGGGATAAGCCCTTAGGCTATTTCTTTCTTAATCTCCAATGAGTACAATACCCCTATATTTATAGTCCCTAATGGACTTGTGTCTCAAGTAACTACGGGAGATATCCTTATAGATTGGATTCCCCTTTCCTAAACAAAACAAATTCCAATCTCCTAATTTATTTCTATTTCTATTTTCCTAATTCCTTCCGAGTGAAGGAAACACCGAGCTGCCGCCGCCGTTGCCGTCGGCGCTGGGCATGGACGCACCCCCTCCTGGGCCGCGGCTGGCCCATTGGCCATGGGCTGGGGAGGTGCCATCAGGCGTGTGACACAGAATAACCGCTTCAATTTATTTGGGCCCTTCAGATGAAACTAGAGTAACTGTACACATAGAAAACTTCATAGTTTAAATAGGAATTCCTTATCATCCCAAACAAAATGAAATCGAAGCCATTGCAAAAAAAAAATATATTAAAAAGACTAGCCACAAAAATTCCGAATTGTTAATTTATGGCATCATTTGCAGTCATATAATTTCATGTTCAGACTAAAAACATGTGGGAAACAAAAACAAAGCACAAATGCAAGGTCAATTAACAGGGAATGCCTGTACACCAGACACATGTTTTTTTCTCAAATATCTGGCAGTTTTTTTACACTTAATCAGCAATAAAACTTTTTAGGCCCATTGACGGTCTCTGCTATTGGTTTTTTTTTCGAACACGCAGGAGAGCTGCGTATCATTATATTAGTAGAAGAAAAGAAATAGTCTTACAGAGACTAAAACCCACAAACACCCACAAGACCATAGAAGCTAATCACCGGAAAAGAGTTACAAGGACGACCACGAACCCCCCCCCTGCAGATACCTAAGTTGCAGTTCGGGCAGAGATTAGGGAAATCCCCTTAGCCCCTGCCACACTCCACCAAGCAGCCTCCTCCTTGGCCAGGTACAGGACCGAGTTAACATTTGGGACCGCTCCATTGAAAACACAGTCATTTCTGTGCCACCAAATGCTCCAGGCTCCTAGGATGACCAGAGAATTCAGACCCCTTCTTAGATCACCTTGAACAGCACCATCAATCTTTCTCCACCAATCATCAAAATTCTGATCAGCAGGTGTTGGAGCAAGGGTTGCAGCACCAAAATGAGAGAGGAAGGAGAACCAAAATATTCTTGAAAAAACACAGCCTACAAGAAGGTGATGAAGATCTTCCTCAAGCTGGTCACACAGGACACACATTTCTGGATGAGGGAGGCCCCTTTTTGCTAACCTGTCTGCAGTCCAGCACCTGTTATGGGCCACTAACCACATAAAAAATCTGCATTTTGGGAGCGCCCAAGTTTTCCAAGTTCTCTCAAAGGGTTCAAAAGAGATGGCTCCATAAAACAGGACAGTGTAGGAGCTCTTTGCTGTGTACTGGCCTGAAGAGGAAAGCCTCCATAAATGTCTGTCAGGGATGCTCTCATTCAGCTCCACCCTAGATAAAAGATCCCAGAGATGGATATACTGAGATAGAGCAGCCGCACCAATTTCTCCCTGTAAGTCCTCTATCCACCTATTCTCAGGAAGGGCCTCACTAACAGTACGTTTACTCAATCGCCTTTTAGGAACCAGAGCAAAAACAAGAGGAGCAATCTCCTGGATTCCCTGACCATCCAGCCATTTGTCCTTCCAGAACAGGGTATTAGCCCCACTTCCCACTTCTGTACGAACTGCGACCGAGATCAGCCCAGCGACCTCCTTACTGACCTGGACCGGCAGATTTGCCCAAGGTTTGTTTGGTACACTCCGCTGCAGCCAAGGCCATCTTGCTTTCAAGGCAATCCCCAATGTTTTGAGATCAGTTATTCCCAGCCCGCCTAATTCCCGAGGTCGACAAACCTTGGGCCAGGCAATAAGACAATGACCCCCGTTTGCTTCTTTTCTTCCCATCCATAGGAAGGACCTTCTAATCTTATCGATGGCTTTGAGAGCCCAAGGTGGAAGATCAATTGCCATAGAAACATAGATTAGGATACCTGTAAGCACAAATTGCACCTGAGTCACCCTACCAGCACGTGTCATCAAATCTGCCTTCCAGCCCGGAAGTTGTTCAGCAACTTTATCAATAATGGGTTGGACCTGCTCCTTGGTCAATTTTCTGTTGGACAGGGGCAAACCCAGATACTTGCAAGGGAAATCCAGAACCTCACATGGCAGCAGGTTTTGAATGAGGGTCAGATCCTCCTCAGCACAGCGAATAGGCAAAACATTGCTTTTCTGAACATTGGTTTTAAGGCCCGAGGCTTCCCCAAACAAATGCAGGAGCTGTAAGGATAAGTTTATGTCTGCTGCAATGGGCTGGAGGAAAAGGGCGACATCATCAGCATAAAGAGAGAACCTGTGCTGAATGGGTCGCCTAGATAAGGGCTGAAGCAGCCCGGCATCCGCAGCCCTTGTGAACATCAAATTCAGGACATCCATAACTAGAATGAAGAGCATGGGAGATAGAGGGTCTCCCTGTCTCAATCCCCTTCTATGCTTTATACTTTCTCCCGGTATGCCATTGAGGAGCACCTGTGTGGATGAAGTAGATAGGAGGCCACTGATTAAGTCACACCAACGAACTCCAAACCCCAACTTCCTAAGAACCTCCAAGAGGAAAGCCCAAGAAACCGAATCGAAAGCTTTGGTGATGTCTAATTTTAGGAGTATTCTGGGCAGGTTCTGAGAATGCAGGAACTTCACTGTTTGCTGAACCATCATGAAATTGTCTAGGATGAACCTTTTCTTAATGAAGGCACTCTGATTTGGGGAGACCATCTCATCAAGGCGGTCTGCAAGTCTATTAGCCATAATTTTGGTCACCAGTTTGGCAAAGCTGTGAACCAAGCTGATAGGCCTAAAATCCTTAACTTGCACCGCATTTGGCTTTTTAGGGATCAAAGTTATGTAAGCCGAATTCAGTTTGCTTAGGTTTCTACAATTACCACTCCAAAGGGACTGTATGGCAGCCATTATGGTAGCGGGAGTAGTTAACAGTTAGCACTAGATTTGCCAGATAGATCTATATCCAATCACAAAACATAATCCAGAATTAATAGAAATGGCAACCCACATTTTGTGTTGTGGATCAGCAATAAAAGGGGAAAACTAAACGGTTTATGATAATAACTTTTGCCTTTTAGGTAAAAAAAAATGATTCCCTAGAATTGTTATCTTTAACCAAGGGAAAGGGCATAGATATAACATAATGGTGAAAAACAGTCAAAATAATGTGTAGGATCTACAATTTGGATTATGGTATCCTATCTTTAACCAAGGAAAAAGGTATCTGAACTGAACAGTTCAAAAGGATGCCAGACATAACTAAGAAACCAAAATAAAGACGCCAGATCTCTCATTGTTTTTCTTTCATTTTTTTTTCACTCCATAGCTGATACTTCAAAGAGAACATTTCCTTATCGTCTTTTCATTTCAATGATAATACTACTCATTTTTCTACTTAAACATGAATGAGAGGATAATAAAGCAAAATAACAACACTCATATGTTAGTTATGTTTCACTTGTTTGAGAAGTATAACATCACAAGGATATAGCTTTCAGTCTTTCACTAATCAGAAAACATTCATTTACAATTATAGCTAAGCACTCTAGTTGATTATGCATTATATATATTGATAGCA